GGAGTTGACCTTCTCCCTTAGTCTTCTCTACATCTTTCAGCTCCAATCAGTATAGTATTCATTCTGCTGCTGTGAAATGGATCTTTACCACTCTGGTGGTTCTCTGCCTGGCAGTTGTAGGGAATTGCTGCTGGTTTCCATGGAACCTGGATTAGGTGCTTTCTTTTAGACTGTGTCACTCACACCTGCTACCAAGGCCCTAGGAGGTCTGAGCATTTAATTCCAAAGCCAACAGACAGGTGATTTTTCCTTCCTGTGCATTTCTAGCAACCACGGTTCAGTTAGCTGTGGGGACGCATTGAAGCGTGACCAAGAGACTTGCCTTGGTTTTGGAAAAATATACAAACTAATGTCTCCAAAGGACAGAGAAGCTCTGCTATATGGCCTGTTGAATGTGATAGCAAAGGGGAATATTTTGTTAATTACGCAGAGTTGAAATGGGGATGTTCTATCCTGGATTTCAGCCCATTTTTTTTTGACAACTCTTTCTGCAAAATAACCCCACTTTGTTCTTGCAACCTCTTGGTACATCGGTGCCACTCTGGGATTGAGTTCTCAGAATAATTACAACAGGAGGATTTACTTCTCTTTCTTTAGCCCTAGAATAAAAGCATAGCTGAGAACGGAACCTGTGGTAAAGGAAAGCTCGCCGCAAGGCATCCCCGCCCTGCCTGCCTTCCTCCTTGGGCAAGCCACACAGGGCAGGTGTGGGGGCTGGATGTGCACAGGGCTCTTAATAGCTCTCCTGGAGGACCTGCTTCGTTTTTACTCCTACTAAGTAGGACAGAAAAGAGGAATGTATAATTTTTTTGCGCAGTGCTTCACTTCTTTTTCTAATAAATCTTTTTATCCAACCTTGGTGATTCTATGATTTTGCAATTTGCTGAATGGATTAGCAGCTCAGAAATGTAGTGACCACAGCAGACTGTGTTCTGTGTTTTTAGTTTCTTTTTAGTGAATATTAACAGTTCTGACTTTTCTTCCAAATGTAAAGGGTCAATAGACACAGTAGATTTTGTGACCACTGGAGATAAAAGTGAAGACCCACATCCCCATCTTCTGGGGAGAAATGTTGTTATAGAATGGACGAGCAACAACAATAATCATAGAGTATCTCAGAATGAGGAACCCTCTGAAAACTTGTACATGCTTCTACAATTCCAGTGTCCACAAAGGTACAGTAATTTAAGATGGGACTTAAAGAACAGCTTCCCTACCTTCATATGATGCATGAGCACATACACCTGACTTATACTGGCCACTGTGTACTGGTCAAATTTCACTTGTTGAATGACCCTGAAGCTTACTATTGTTGGCACATGGCTAGGAGTTTGTTCCCCTCCTGCTGCATTGCTGCACAAATACTTTGCTGGCTCAGGATAAGATCACCACCCACTGCATCAGTGTTTCTTCAGCAGACAGCTTTGTTAATCAGTCTATCTTTCATTCTGGGCTTCTTTGCTGAGAGAGCTACTTCAGAGAGATCCTAACAACACAAGAATAAAAATAGCAACACGAGTTTCATCAAAATGTGGCATTTCCTGCAAGTTATTTTTCCTGCTTTCATCTCCTGAGTTTTCTTTTTCTGATCACTTTAACCCCTGCATAGATGCTCCCTCCCCCCAACATTTTTAGTCTAGGGAGAGACTCTCCCAAATAGTGGAGGAACATGGAGTTAGCTTCTCAAAGTCAGTAAAAATACAGCTGGGTCTGAAGTGCAGGAATTAACAGGTGTTAGTATTTCATACAGAGGCAGCTCAGAGATAATAGTCATGATGGACAGAAAATGACATAAGTGGGCCAGAAGGAAATTCAGCAGCAAACTAGCTTATCCCCACAGGCAGACTCTGTGTTCCAGCACAGGACAGTACATGTCTGACTGATCTGACAACCTTGGTACAGGCTTTGGCATTGCCGAACAAGCAAGACATTGGTGACAGCAAAATAGTGTCTTCCAGACAATGATAAAATAGCAGCTGTGGGAGATGCACCAGCATGCCCTACTTAGGGCTCTGTGCACAGAGAGCTTGGCAGTCAGTGAAACAGCTCTAGGGGGTAGCAAGGGGGAAAAAGAATATTGCCCACCCAGCTGTGAAGACAGGCAGGGAAACACAGGTCACAGCACAGAGAGTGCTGCAGGGATGGAGGAGCCCAGGTGCTAGCAATGATGCGGGCATGTGAGTCCCAGAGAAGGGAGCTCTCAGCAGGCTTTTGCAGCCACTGGTCTGGGACCCCTGCCAAGCAGATGCACATGAAGGACACCCACTTTGGCTTCACCCTGTGCAGCCAGTCTACATGCAGGCTAATCACCCCTCCTTGTTGCTGAGTCTGGTGCTTTCTTCCATACTGCAGTGCCATCCAGTGCAGAACAGTGAGGGGCAGCTGTTGTCTGCAAGAAGGCTGGGGTCTTGTTTCACTCCAACATCTCTTGTGTGCAATAGCATCTTCCTCACATGAAGCTGAAAGGGTTGCTCTGCCCTGTCCTTCCCTACAACTTCTCCTCCAGAAAAGAAAAAAAGGTTAATTTATTTTTTATCCTGCTTCTTAGCAACAGCACCTACATGAAGATCTGAGCGTAAGATCCTTTCCCCCCTCCCAGCACCCCTTTCCAAGCAATTAGCACACTGAAATATAGGCAGGAAACAGGATGGTGATGTCAAAACTGGGACACATGAAGTCTGTTGCCTTTTTGCAAGGCTTTGCACCATATGGATCAAACTGACTGAGAGCAGTTTTTGCATCTTTCTCTTCCCTATGGAGACCTGCCTCCACTGCAGCTTTGGTTACTGCCCCAAGCTGCCTGCTTTACATAGAGCCATAGCATCACACGTATCCTAAGCTGGAAAGGGCCATTAAGATCGTAGAATCACAGAATAGTTTGGATTGAAAGGGACCTCAAAGCCCGCCCAGCCCCCACCTCCTGCTGTAGGTAGGGCTGCCCCCACCAGCTCAGGCTGCCCAGGGTTCCATCCCACCTGGCCTTGGGTGCCTGTAGGGATGGGGCATAGGGTCCTTGAGTCCAACTGCTGGCTTCACACAAGACCACTAAAAATTCAAACCCTGAGTCTGAGAGCACTGTCCAATCCATGGGGAATCAAATCATGAGTGGCCACAGCCACCAACGCTAGGTCTGGCTGTAGGGGTTTGCCTGGGGCTGCAGGGTTCTCCCTCACAAATGGGATGTCTGAGATGTCCATGGGCTACATCAAAGGAGTGCTGCAGAAGAAGAAGTGAGGCTGTACCTGGCAGCAAGCATTTCATATGGGAGAAGTGAAAGGGGCTGCGGTAGTACTTGTGTTCCTCCTACTTCTCTCTGCCCTTGGGGGAAGCTGCCAAACTAAGCTCCAGACAGTGGCTCAGAGAAACTAGGTTGCTCAAAAACACCTGAGAAACGTGGAAAATGTTTCTGTTTGAAGTCACTTGTCTTTTGGAGCAAAGCAGAGCAAAGAAGAAAGACAGCTGGTGACATATCCAGTGCAGTGCCAGCACCGCTGAGCCTCGCTTAATCGGCCAAATTTTAAATTGCTTTCAATCTGGTCTGGATCTCACTGGCAAATCTGGGGAAGCAATTTAAAACTTAGAAGAAGCCAGAGAAAGATGCAGGTCAGACAATACATGTTGGGATTTCCAGTTGTGACCAGATACGCCTGTACTGGAAAGACAGGGGGAAGCCGTGTAATATGTGTCCCCACATAGGACTTGCAGGTGGAATGGATGAGCAAACATCTAAAATACCTTCAGATGTAGGTGGTCATCCATAAACCAAGCCTGGGTGTGCTCTTGAGCTAGTAGTAATACCCTAGATAGTAGTACCCTGGTATATAATAATTAGATATGTATTTATTACATATTATATAAATTAATAATTGTATGGTAACTATTGAGTCACGGCCTGAGCCACTGATTGAGCACCTGGGGAAAGGACCCAGTCAGCCCTGGGAGCACAGGTGAAGGCAATTCAGCTGTGTGACTGGAAGGGATGGAGCCTGGCTGCACCTCTCTTAGACCTCATTTAAGGGCTGACTGCTGCTGGGGAAGGATCTCTTTCTGGAGATATCTCCTTGGTGAAGCTTTCTCCAGTGAGCCTGGAACATGATACGGGTGAGTAATCTTCTTCTCTTCCTTTATAGCACCTCTCTATATATCACGCCTTTGTCGTAACACTTTTCCCATTGTATTGATCTGTCCCATTGCCACAATAGCATATACATTATGTATTTTGTTTAATGTTTTTTAATGTTATTTCTACCTAAAATGTTGTCCTTCAAACTCGCAATTGAAAGCTGAGCAAGTGAAGCAGAGTGTTGCAGTGTGAGGAGGGTGTCATTGAGGGCAGGAGAAAAGGTGAAGGTGGGAGGAAAATGCCTGATGTTTCCTCACACAAGGTTTTAAGAGACAAAAACCTCTGTAAGGCTTTTCTCTTTGTTTCTTGATGTTTATTGAGATTTGCCCTCTGAGTGCCTCATCTGATGTTCTGACTCTGCTTTTCTGAATCCATGTGGCTGGGAGGATACATAATACCAAGTCACCCAAATGCCTCTTCCCAAATTGCCTACTTATCCCCATACTGGCTCTGTGACTTTGTGATTGATCAACAAAAGGCAAGCAGCGCTAAGATTTTAAGGAGACCCCACTGACTTCAGCAGTTATGTTAGCAGCCATCACTGCTGTGAGGCAGGCCTAGCTCTGTAAGTACACCTGGGTAAGGTTATTTCCCTTTCTGAGGCCAAAACCAACCTTTTGTGGCAGTCAGTAAGCCTGCAATTAAGCCACTGAGTAAATTGTGTTTTAGAAGCTGCAGCAACTTGTGGAATGAATTGCCAGACTGGATGTTGCCAGGCCTTTTTTCCTTAGTGGTCAAAGTTATGTGTAAGAAGAGAATAACTCAATGTAGGAGGACCACAAAATATGTTCACAGCATAACAGCAATTGAATGGCTAACCCAGCCCAGTGGATTTGTTGGGTTCACTTTCTTAATTGTTGTTATTTTTCCAGAGAGCCAATAGAATAGCAATATGCTGAGCTTCTAGCCTATGCTCTCCAGTTCTTTCACCTCCATCTTACTTTCAGTCAAAGTCAAGCACCATCTGTGGATAGCATTCTGTCCTGCTGTACCTGGAGGAAAGGCACCACAAAGCAGAGCTGGTTCCTGCTCTTGCCTGAGCTGTATTTAAGGTGGTGTTTCCTGTGCTTTAAAAGGGAGAGGTCCCCAGGAGTACATAAATATATTATAAAACAGCAGAACCCTCAATAATTAATTTTCAGCAAGGAAGAGTTTCTATTCCAACCAGAACAATGTCAAAAGCTCTTGGATTCTCACAGTCTGTAAGGGAGGAGCTGAGAGTATTCAGTCTAAAAGCTGTCATGAAAGAGCCTAAGCTGGTATGATCTCATCCTCATGCAGTGGCACTCTGAGTCTGGGGAAACATGCAATTTCCAGCAGTGTGTGTCAGTAATAGAAATACCAGCAGACCCCTTTTCACAGAATCACAGAATTGTAGGGGTTGGAAGGGACCTCCAGAGATCATCGAGTCCAACCCCCCTGCCAAAGCAGGTTCCCTACAGCAGGTCGCACAGGTAGGCATCCAGGCAGGTCTTGAACATCTCCAGAGAAGGAGACTCCACCACCTCCCTGGGCAGCCTGTTCCAGTGCTCCGTCACCTCACTGTAAAGAAGTTCCTGCGCACATTTGTGCGGAACTTCCTATGCTGCAGTTTCCAGCCGTTTCCCCTTGTCCTTCTGTCTTGCACTGCAATTGGAAATGGTCTTGCAAAGTGCCAGAATTACACCAGCCTGGGAAATCAAGACATTCTTTTCTATCAGCAGAGTAGTCTGCTCATGATGTTACTCCTTGCTCATATACGGCACATCAGTAGTTTGGGAAATTGAATGTTTTGAGTATACTGAGGCAGAAGGGTTGATGTAGAGCAGTATCAATATAGTACATACATGTATTGTGACCAGTTAAATAATTCCTTTGCTGAAGTACTAAAATATAAAGTGGTAGTCTCTAAATGAATAACTCTAATAACTCAGATCTGTACTCTGATAGCGATGGGACATGGGAGGACTGCTTTAAACTAAAGAGGGGAGATTTAGGTGAAATGTCAGGCAGAAATTCTTTACTCAGAGTGCAGTGAGGCGCTGGCACAGTTGCCCTGAGAAGCTGTGGAGCCCCATCCCTGGAGGGGCTCAAGGCCAGGTTGGATGGGGACCTGGGCAGCTGAGCTGTTGGGGGGCAGCCCTGCCCATGGCACAGGGTGGGGCTGGGTGGGCTTTGAGGTCCTTTCCTGCTCAAACCGTTCTGTGATACTGTGATTCACTCAAGTAACTCAAGCTGGGGCCAGAGGACTATTTTCATGTGAAATCTGGGTGGCAGAAGGTGGTGAGGCAGTTATCTTTGTGTAAGAAAGCTGTGGTGCCTGTAGCTAGTTTAAGAAACTAGCTATACTATAAACTTAAACTAGCTAGTTTAAGAAACTGTGGTGCCATAGCTAGTTTAAGAAAAGAACTAACATATGAGGAGATTTTTCTAGGGATGCAAAAATAAAACCCACACATGAGCAGGGAATCTGCCACAGTTGTAGTTATTATTAGTTCTTTTCTCCTCAGGAAGTGCATAGAATCTCAACTGAATGACTTATGAAATACCTGTGTTATTGCAGGCAGTTGTGTGTACACATGTGGGACACAACCACGGAGGAGCTGTGCTTCCTCATTGGCAAAACCCAGCAGCAGGTATGCAGCCACTCTAGACACAGCATGGATGTTATTTTGCTTTTTGATTGGGTTCAGTACCACTCTGACCCTGCAATTTGCTGTCATTGCTAATAGGTCTTGCCTGGCTGCAGTTTGGCACTAAGCTGGGCAGGTACAGCCCATGTGTCAGCATCTTTCTGCAAGTGCTTCCTTGGCTTGACTGCAGGCTACAGCCTCATAATACAAACAAAAGCTAGATGTCCCAGCTCCTACTCTTGCTGCTGAGGTTTGAGCCAGGAAGGTTTCACATGAGGCTGCCGTTTCCTCACCTCTTTTCCCAGAGGGTGTGGAAATAGGAGACAAGTTAGGCTTTTACTAAGGGTGCTGCCATTAAAAGGTGGTAATAAAAGCATAACAACTGTGTGACTGACAGCCAGAAGCAGATTTGCAGCCCGGTGGCAAGGACTGTACCCACAGTGACACATTATAACAGCTCTCTCACAACAGCCTTGTGGAAAAAGCCATCTCCTTCATACCAGTGGTCTGTGAGTTCCTATGGCAGCTGCTTTGCAGCTCACTTCAGCAAGTTTCCTCAGATTTCCCCAGTCTGAAATGCTGTGTGTTCCTATAATCAAGATGCCATTCATTGCTTGGAGGCATTTTTCATACATTATTTCATCATTTAGTCAATATGATGAATGTGGGGAGTGTTAGGAATCTGTGATAAGAGGTCTGGAAGTGGGCTTGTTTGCATTTAGTGCTATGATTAAAAAGAAACTCTTTGCTTGCGTAGGCAAGGAAGGTATTGAATTTCTTTAATCACAGAGATGATAAAAATTGATTTCTTTAATTTCCTCTGTCAAGGAAGGAATGACTGCTAGCACAAGCACAGGGTATGATCTATGCAGAAGATACAGTGTTGCTAGACAGAGCTGTTCTCATCACTTCCAAAATGAAGAGCAAGGAAGTTTGTGGCTAGGGGACAGAACCAAATATTTAGGAGATAAAATCAGTGTAGACTGTAAAATGAGAGATTTAATCAGTGCCTCACCTTGAAGACCTGGGTCTGGTTTTCTGTCTAGTATATCAAATCCAAAATTGAACATTTGAAGAGATTACATTTGGGTTCAGATGGTGCAGAGTTTGAAATTGCCTGGTTAGGGAGTATTCTCATTGCGAGCCTTGTTTCTGCCCTTGACAGAAGTACAGACCTTAGCAAGTAGATGGGATAATCACCAACCCAAATGATTAGTGGTTGGTTTGCAGTGGTTCAGGAGTTAGTCACTGTGGCTGCAGAGACACTACAGGTGTTACTGAGGACATTGGATGGATGGATGTCCTGTAGATGTGGGAGGAGCCTGCTCATCCAGAAGATGCCTGTGGTGCCTCTACCCACTGCGTGCACTGCCTTAGGTTTCCCTGCACATTTCCATTCTGAGGCCATGGAGGCCAGCCATTCCTTGGCAGAAATGTATTTGCAGAGCCAAGAACTCAAAGGAAATTTATTTTTGCAGAGCTTTCTTCTGCTTGGTGTGTAATTTCATTTCTGATCATGTTCAGAATGTTCCCTCTGAGTTGTTAGCATTTTGCTAGAATGTAACTTGCTGTTTTGCTGAGTACCTAGTGCTGAAGGAAAGGTTGGGAGCTGGGAGATCCGGGAGTATAATGTCCTTTATCAGGAGGCTGAGCAGCCTCCAAGCTTGGAATCATGCACAGCATGGGAAGACTTGCTTTTAAAGGCCTGATATGTCAAAAGCCAATGCTGGCTATTGGGCTAGGGGCTCCCAAGTTACCTGTAAGCTAAGGAACCATCAGTCACAAGACACAGCAGACTGAGGCCCACCCATGGAGACTGCTCCATTCCTGGAGGTTTGAACACCTCCAGGTAGGATGGGGCCCTGGGCACCCTGAACTAGTGCCTGATTTAGTGCTTGGCTACCCTACCCATAGCACAGGGTTGGAACTAGATGATCTTTGAGGTCCCTTCTAACCCAGGCTATTCTATGATTCTCAAAAAATTCTCATGCTTTAAATTGATGCCAGCAACAACAAAATTAGTAGGAAAGGACCCCCAAAATACCCGTAGTGGCAATACAGAGTTGTACAACCTTTTGTTATACAGTTGATATTCTTATCTAAGCATGCAGGACATAAATGACACAAATCCAGTAGGCAGGAGGGTGAACATATATCCCATGAAATCAGCATGCTCACTGGGCTGGGAGCTTGGCAGAGCTTTTCTGATGCCCCAGTGATGGCACCTCAGGGGGGCTGCGAGCACTCCAGGAGATTCATGGGCAGCTTCTTACATCAGTGTGCTCTTGTGAGCCAAACCCTGATTCATGCTTGCTGTGCAACCATTTAATCTGATTATGGGCTGGAAACACAGCTGTCAGGAAGGCAAGTTGTGATTTATAGATAAGTGATGGGGTTACAGAACTGTACAAGGAGAGTGAGGGAGACCCATGGGCACTACAACTATAGTGTGGATATGTCTTTGCCAGCTTTTTCCCCTGAAAGAGAGGAATAAGAGGGACAAAGAAGGAACTAGAATTTAGCATCACCTAAATATAGAGATCCTGTCCCAGCTGAGACCCAGGATCAGAGAGCCACTCCCTGCCAGAAAGAGATACTAAAACCCTACAGAAGTTGAAGTTAACGTTATGTTGCATATCTCCTTCTTGAAGACAATCCCCAATAGCTTTCTGACAGGACTTTTTTTTTTTTTTTTTTTTTCAAAGCTGTCCCAGCAAACTTCTGGTGGAAAAAAAACTACCAGTTATAACATCCATTTGATGTGAAAATTGTGGTGTATGGGCCCATTTCACAAGAAACCCTCAGCAGCCTCAAAATTCTCTCAAGCATTTGAAAGCTGACAGTACTTAGACAGAAACAAGGAAAATGGTTATCCAAAGGCATCCAATAAATCTGTAGCAGTGAGAGGAAGGGAAAGCTTGTGCTTTTTCTTTTTTTTTTTTCTTTTTTTTTTTTTCAAAATGTCTTTTCAGAGCTGAACCTTGAACATGTTAGTCTTTAAACAGCAGGAAAAATGTTAAATGATAAAATAATAGAACAATTACAAAATATTGAACCTTCTGCTCAGTAGATTCATGCACTTTTCAAAGCTATGGGAACTCTAAGAACAGGCAGGACTACCCCCTCACCCTTCAGCCCTAGGATGGCACCTGCCAGTGACTGCTACCCAATGTGGGCTGGGGGCATCAGGTTAAGAATAGAGATGCAGAGGAGAAGCCTAGAAGTGTTCACAGAAAAATAGAGCTGGAAGAGACCTCAAGAGATTCATTCCCTGTCCCAAGGCAAGGCCACTCTTGATGTCAGGCTGCCACCATGCCCACTGACCATGTTTCTCAGCCACACCTCCAGGGACAGTGACCCCACCACCTCCCTGGGCAGCCTTTGCCACTGCCTCACTGCTCTTTCTGAGAAGAAATTCTTCCTTATATCCAACCTGAATCTCTCGTGGTGAAACCTGTGGCCATTCCTTCTCATCCTATCTCTGTTACCTGAGAGAAGAGGCAGACCCCCCCCACACCTCACCACAACCTCCTTTCAGATCATGGTTGAGAGTGATAGGGTCTTCCCTGAGCTTCTTTTTTGCTAGACCCAGTTCCATCAACCACACACCCTAAGACTTGTGCCTACAGACCCCTTGCAGCATCACTGTCCATCTTTTGGTGTACTTCAGGGCCTCACTATCTTTCTTTGATAGATATTGTTCCAAGGCTCTTTGTTTGGGGGGGAGCTGAACCTTCCTAGGCAGCCCCTCTCACTGCTTGTTGCTGTCCACCATTAGGAAAAACTGCCTGCAAGCTGCCAGGGTCTCCCCAGGCCTGTCCTTCTCTGACCTCACAGATGGTTTTGTACGAGAAAAATGAACCACACCTGCTCTGTGCTGCTGCCAGGAGGGGAGGTTTCAGATGTTTAAGCATGGTCACAGCCCACACGCTTGGCAGTAGTTCAGCTCTGCTTGCTGCTGGCCACTTGTGCAAGCAAGCATCTGATACCAGACATCCATTGTATCAGGTGTAATGGAGAGCTGCTGGGAGGCATAGGGTAATGCAGAGAGTAGGCAGTGTGGGTGAAGCAGACCTTGCTTGGTTGTGGTGGGAACACTCTGTGCATAATAAAGAGGACTGAAACTTGTGCTGCTTGCAGTGAGGAGTGAATGGGTTGATTCAACTAAACAGCATCAAGCATCACCTGTTACTACTAGTTTTCATAAGCAAAGGAAGTACTTTAAGTAAGGGATTTTTAAATCCAGTAATCAAGCAAACAAAAGCCGGAGAATTTCATATCTAAGTCAGCCCACGTTAGGGAATGTGCAATGCTGAGCTGCGAGCACTAGAGCACTCCAACCAGCAGTGCACACAGATGATGCTGTGCTGTACTGCTGCATAGGAATGTCTCACTGTGAAAACTGAGGGAAGTCATAAAATAGCTGCATGTTGTTTATTTGCCTAACTGTCCCAGCAGGAGAAGGGCTTGAAATCTCAGGGAGGATAGGGTGGGAGAAAGGGAACACTACCCAAGATTGTGAAGTATGGACCAGCAGCCCCTGGAGAGAAAAACTCTCCTAATAAAATGTTTTGCTTGCCTCCCCAGTGTCACAGGAGAGTTTTGACAGGAGCAAAGTCTTTCTGTGTGTCAAGATGGTGGGTAAATCAAAGTGCTTGTTAAAACTTCTCTGAAACCTTTCCTGGATGTTACTTGGTGTGATTGCTTGGATGCTCCTGCAGCTGCTTGCTTCACAGGGTGCAATGCCTAGATTTCTGGGGAGATGCAAATAGTTTTTCCTCAGTAGTACATGGTGTGGTGGAGATACTGAGGTCCTGCTGTGAGTGACCACTTCAGCCTCTCAGTGTTGGGCTGAGAATATACTGCTCACCTTGCCATGGCCAGCTGCGGTCAGCACTCTGGAGCATCAAACCTAAATGCTTCCAAGGTGGAGAAATGAAGCCCTCAGCTTTCAGTGCCTGCAAGGCTCTTGTCTGGAATGTTTTCATCGTGTTTTCACTCCTGCCTGCCTGCACTCCTCACCTGAGCTTCACCAGGACCTGTGTGCTCCAGGTACCAGGTACCACACCATGCTGCATCAGGAGCACTGCTCTGCAAGCACTTCCATTTCTGGAGACAGTCACAGCAGCATATGGTTTGGGAAACAGAGCTTTTTTTAAACAAATAACCACATCCCTCCTCCAGCTGAGCTATTGGAGCAGCCCAGCTAAACTCTGCTCCATCTGCATTAAGCGTGGGAGCTCTGCAACTGCACAATAAGGAATCTCTAATGATAAGATACATTAAAAAAGCATATTGGAGGTGAGATCAAAATAACTTGAAATTGGAACACTCTAAAACTTGGCAGAGAATCTGCTTAGAAAGTTTATGTGGCAGGGAGGAGTGTGATTCCTCAAATGCTGAGGATTAAATTTCCAAAATTACGGCAGGGCTATGCAGTAACAGCTCCATAATATTTTGATTCAGAAGGAAGCAAATAAGGTACTGCAGGATGTTGCTGCAGTAGCACACTCCTTGACAACATCTTCTTTAAAGAAAAAAGGATGCTTAAAGATATGTAGGGGCAGAATTTGATGTACGTTTCCTAGAACTTCTTCCCTTGGTACCATTTTCCACCTGAATCTATCCAACAACAATCTATGTTAACGGAAACCCACCTGTAGCCAAGCAGAAAATCTCCTGTTTAAAACTGTGAGAGCCAGCAGTGGTTTCTTTGGGATCTAACCAGTCTGACATGCTTTTCTCCCTCGCTTTCATAAGATTTCTCTATGCCTCATTTCTGGTCAACTCCATTAATTCAGCATGCACCTTTCCCTGCCCTCGGTTCTCGAACAGTGATGTGCAGTGGTCTCTAAATGTTAGCAGAGAACGACCTGGTTTTTAAGGCTCCGTTTCTGACACTTGTGGTGTTCAGGACATTTGAGGCTGGGGTTTAAGATGCAGCCATAACAGGAATCCAGGAACTGTTCTTGCTTTGCAGGCTAGCTAGTCCTTGAAGTCAGGTTGCTGGGTTCAAGTAGCACTCTCTGTTCCTCAGCAATGCTGAAATTCAGAACAGGGTTATATTCCTGACCCCTTCATTATACAATTTGTAAAATCAGACATAATGACAGATATTTTGTGATACTTTGTATCTGGCATCTGGTCCTCCCACAGACTCTGGTAACTTAATGTAACTCCATAGCTTTGCCATATTTTTCTCCCTATGTGTTCACATTGCCAAATGTTATATGTCACCAGTTAGCAAGTAAAACCACTCACATCTAAATGGTATTCCAGCAGACTGCCTTCCAATCCAAAACAAATATTTGGTTTATTCCTGTCACTATAAAAATTTCTTCTACCAACTACTAATCTACTTGTAGTAGGTCACTAGAAAACACACACAGGTTACCAATTATATTATCTTGATATCATCCTCTAAGGAGAAAGCATCCCTGAAATTAACTTTAGCAATCCTGAATTCCTCAAGAACGTTGTTACAGTGATAAAGAAGTTGCAGAGGAAACAAAGAGAAAGGACATTACTTTTCAGAATTACGTGCTGTCATGAATGCAGACACAATATAAGGTAGTAAGTGGAGTAAAGTGGAAATCTTTCACAAAGATCTCAGAAACTGTTGTGAAACTAGTTACAGTGAGTTACTTGTGTGATCCTGGTTGGTTATTCATAATGGACAGGCTGAATGAAAAGAGGAGAGGAGAGGATGGTTGCACCCAGAGTGCAGATTTGGTATGTCCTCTGATGGCATTGAGACCCCAATCTAGTCAAAGCTCCTCAAAGATCGTAGATGCCCACTTTTCACCAGTTTCATGCACACCTAATGTCCCCCTGCTGACTCCCAAAGTGGGCAACGAATATCCCGACACCTCTCAGACCTGGGGCTTCTTTCAGCATAACCAGGTGTCCCCAGGCAAAAATCTCTTTATGTGGGCCCTCTAAGGGTGCCATTTACCCTGCTGCTGGCACCAGTGCTCACCTGTTCTCACCAGGATCTCTGTGATGGAGCTCAGAGTAGCTGGCTGTCCTGGGTGTCCTCATGGAATTCCCAGCATATGCACCAGTGTGTGGTTTGGCACAGCACAAGCAGCTCTTGCCCCTCTTGCAGTTCTAGGCATTAACTAGCAACATGTTCAGAATACTTTCAGTGCTTCCAGACAGTAGCTGTAGGTTCCTGCAGAGGATGCCTGGTGGAGTCTGCAGTCCCATCCATAAAGGGATGGATGTAACTTGAAGTTAATGAATGTCACAGATGCTTAGCATCACTCACACAAGCTAAAGAATTAATTCCTACCAACGTCTTCATTTATAGCGTCTCTGGATATTTATCAAAGGAAACACATTGTTGAGTCAATTGAAATAAGGACAGAAAAAAAGAGGTGTTTAGTCCAATTAAAACATGAATGATACTGCTGTGGCTAATGAACGTGAAAAGAGGAACTGAGTGTAATGATATCAAAGTCAGCTTTACAACCACATGAGTCACCATCCCTGGAGGTTTGCAGATGACACAGGTGTGGCACTAGAGGATATGGCTAATAGGCATGGTGGTGATGGGTTCATGGTGAGGCTAAATGATCCTGATGGTCTTTTCCAACCTTTGTGATTCTGTAGTTCTGAGGACAAATGTGGAGTCGCTGCAGTGCAAACTACTCACCAGCTACGCACCCTGGTGCACACATCTTCCAGCTTTGTAGCAAACTCCTTGTGCGCACTCAGGACAGTGCTAACAGGAGCATCTCAATACTTCCCCAGTATTCAGTCTGGTGAACTGCTGCAGCAAATTTCCTCTACTTCTGTCACTGATCTTCTTTTGCCACAACCAGGAATGTGCTCAAAAATGAGCATTGTTTAATCATGCTCAGTCCGTGGGCATTGGATGTCTGCCTGAGTTCACAGAGCATCCATTGCTATAGCCATGCTCCTGCTCCAGAAAGAAGCTGCTGTCTTGTAAGAGTCACAGCTCTCACAAAGGCATTTCACATGAGATGAGAAATGCCTTCCTTACTGTCTGCCACATTATCTGAACAAAGATATATTCGTTTTATCTTGCATTTTGATTTGATGAGCTGTAACATCTCAGCATGACTTTTTTTTTGGTAACTCTTGACAATTTTTTTTTTTCAATCTAAATTAAGGCCTACAAGGTCTAGAAGCAAAAAAGTCACATGATGGGTATTACAGAAAGGCTGATGATCATCAGCTGCCCTTCTTAGAGCAAACAGACACGAAGGCCTTGTGAATAAGATAGGCTTTTGTTCTGTGAAGAAACAGGAAATTCTGTCTCACCTGTCTTATCACTTTAAAATCCAATTTTTGGGACAGACTCAGTAAGAAATGTCCCATTTTTCTGCAACAACCAGAAGTGAATTGGATCTCACCTCCCCCAAGCAAGAGTTCCTTTGAGTCACAACTCTAAAACAGACCATAAATTTTTCAGCAAAGCTTCATGAGTCATAAACTCTATGGGAAAGATTCATTCAGCCAGAGCTGGTAATTACATATATCCGTCAGCAGCTCCCAGTCCCGGGGCCTAGGAGAGGAGCCTGCAGCTCCGTGTAGGGGTACATGGTGGGCAAGTACAGGCTGCAAGCACCTCTGTTCTCCTTCCTGAGGAACAAAAGCAGCCTCAGCATCCTGTTGGATCCACAGAATCTGGAAGGAGCAAGAGTTAAGCTCATCTCAGCCCTCTGATACTCTGCTGTAACAAAGATGTGCCACCAAGAGAGTTGATGTGAAGTGGACTTATCAGGATGTACAGATTTAGGCACATAATTTATTTCTGTTTCACAGAATCACTGAGTCATAGAATCATAGAATCACAGAATGGCTTAGGTTGGAAAGGACCTCAAGGCCCACCCAATATCATGGGCAGGGCTGTCCCCCACCAGCTCAGCTGCCCGGGGCCCCATCCAACCTGGCCTTGAGCACCTCCAGGGATGGGATATCTTGCAGTACTAACCTGAGTATTTCTGTGAAGACACACTTTTATTCTATATAACAGAACAATCCCCATGAAGTAACTGAGACAAAACAAACAAACAGAAACAACTTATTTTTACTACTTTCTTTTAATGGAGAGCTTAATTAGAGTGGTCTGGAATAAGCAACTCAGCATCTCTGCCACGGTCCATTGTGAAGTCACCGTGGATATGAGCTCATAAGTTGGGCACTTGTGTTTGCCTTCAAGGAATAAATGCCCTCTAAATGCGATCTGCCACCAAAACAAATAGGTTTTCAGCTCCTGCTTTTCAGTGATAGCAAGAGCAAAACTTTCTCAAAAAAAAAAAAAAGCCAAAAATAACAAAAAAGAAAAAAAAAAAAAAACACAACAAAAAGACAAAACCTGAGGAAAGCCTCACAGAAGTAAGTAATACTGCAGGACAAGCTGCTTGATGAAATAGAGAGTGATGGCAGGAGAGGGGCCTTTGGGACTGTGTACAAGTGCAGCTCTCCATTCCTCTCCAGTATCAAATAATACCAGAATAATTGTGTCATAATACAAAAGCAATACACAATACACACATGCCAGAAGAATAAGATCATGACCTCCAGTCACAGTTGCAGAGGAGACAATGCTTTTCTTAGGGTTTTGAAACAATTAACCTTCAAGGTCCTAATAATCAGCTTCAAGTAATGTCACATTCCCTATTTCCTTTCCCCTTCCAAATCTTCACTGTATGTTAAGTATCATGACTGGTATTTTTGTTGGTATGGATTTCTTGCTAGTTCCTCTGACTAGATGTGTCTTCCACCAGGGAAGATCTCATCTCATCTGAAAAGACAGCTTTTCTACAAACATCAAAAGAGAAAGCCCCATCCTCCAGAAAAGCCAATTCTTGCAGCATGGCTGTTGAATATGTAGCCCAGCAATACACAAGTCTTGAAAGTGGCACAAAGGATCTCTGAGAACACTTCAAACTGATTAATTCTGCAGGGTAGCACAGAACAAATAGTTCTACCTTTAGTTCTACCAGGCCTCTCTCTGACCTTTCCAGAGACTGTTTATCTGTGCTTGAATAGACAAATTTGAACACAAATAGCATGATGACCAAAGCATAACCACATTCCTTAAGCAGTTCTGCCATCATTAAAGATGCCACCATAGACCTTTTAAGAAATGTCTCTTTCTGTTAGAAAAAATACTAACATCAGCAGTAGTGATTGATCTAAAATTAGTGATCTGATTGAAAAAAAATTAGGTTACTGTGGTCTTTGTAAACAATGATGAGACATGGACCAGCCCTGCAGCAGGTCCCAGGCTGTAGGTGATGTAGGCTGTGCTGTCACAGCAGTTGACACAAACACCACAGCAGCTCCAGGCTGTGAAACACACTCAAAGTAAAAATACCCTTTCTACAGAGCCAGAATGCTGGGATTGCGTGCAGCCTCAGCAAGTTTGTGGATGACACCAAGCTGTGAGATGCAGACAACACACCTAAGGGATGGGATGCCGTGCAGGGGGACCTAGATAGGCTCCAGCAGTGGGCCCGGGTGAGCCTCATGAGGTTCAATGAAGCCAAGTGCAAGGTCTTGTACCTGGGTCGTGGCAACCCCCATTACCAATACAAGCTGGGAGATTAAAGGATTGAGAACTGCAGTGCTGAAAAAGATTTTGGGAAACTGGTGGAGGGCAAGCTGGACATGAGCCAGAAGTGTGCCCTTGCAGCCCTGAAAGCCAACCATAGCCTGGGCTGCGTCGAAAGAAGCGTGGCCAGCAGGGTGAGGGAGGTGATCCTGAGCCTCTACTGTGTGATGGTGAGCCCTCACATGGAGTACTGCATCCAGATATGGAGTCCTCAGTACAGGAGAGGCATGGACCTGTTGGAGTACGTCCACAGGAAGGCCATAAAAATGATCCAAAGGATGGAACACCTCTCCTACAAGGACAGGCTGAGAGAGCTGGGACTGTTCAGCCTGGAGAAGGGAAGGCTGCAGTGTGACCTGAGAGCAGCCTTTCAGTATCTAAACGGGGCTGTAAGAAAGACAGGGAGAAAGACACTTTAGAAGGTCTGCTGTAACAGGACAAGGGGAAATGGTTTCAAATTAAAAGAGGAGAAATTTAGACTCAATTTAAGGAAAAACATTCTTATAATAAGGGAAGAGAAGCACTGGCACAAATTGCCCAGAAGGTTGTGGATGTCCCATCTCTGGAGACACTCAAGGTCAGGCTGGATGAGGCTCTGAGCAACCTGATGTAGTTGTAGGTGTCCCTGTTCATTGCAGGGGAGTTGGACTGGATGACCTTTAAT